ACTTTACATTGTGGATAAGGGTGGATAGCCCCCATTGTTCTGTGTGTCAAAATGAAAGACAGCCCACACGCCTATCAATCATCAAACCGTGGGGTCTTATTTCATTACGTGTTGATTTCTATCAATTACGTGTTGATTTCTATCAACACGTAATGTTGTATCGATGTATAGAGAGATGTACTGCAGCAAAAGTATTCTCCATCGCTAATCTCAAAAGTATTCTCCATCCACTAACTGCTGTCTGTGCAATAGTAGTAGTAGTAGTAGAACCTTTATTTATCCAGGAAAATCTATTAAGAACAAATTCTTATTTACAATATTATTATTATTTTATTATTTGCAATTTAATCCGCGCAAGTTGGCGGACTTTATTTCGATTACTTTAACATCATTTTTCATGGTGGGGCTAAGCCATTTCTTGGTATGGCTGTAGCCTACCCCAGCCATACCCTGGCGCCGCCACTGCTCTCCATATATTTGACCATATCATCACACAAGCTTGGTTATTGGTGATGCATCCCCAACTCTTATCATTAAATCCAATCACTTGTATATAGACTCTTATTGCACAATTTCCCTATTTTACTATTTTCTTTTTGTATGTACTATTTTTTCTGTTTTATTGTGTTGCACTGTTGGAGTAGCCTGTGACCTAAGATTTTCATCGTCATAACTACACTGTAGCTATGTACGAATGACCAGTAAAAGCCTTGGGGCATAAACTGATCCCATAAGTGATGATAGATGGCCAAAAAGGCGATGATGAAACTAACACCAAAATTATAAATACTTTGCATTTCCTCTGCCTGGGAAGTAATGTTTGTATTCCCACCGTTACCTGGCAGTGAGATGCACTCCTGGTTGCGGGGCTCCCACTGACAGTTCTGGTCCACAGCGCAGCTCTTACAGCTGGTTTTCTTGTTGCACACCGATGACGGGTTGTCTTTGGGACACACTTCAAACTCTGCTATGGCCCCCTGGGAAGAGAAAGCAGAAAAATAACTCAAACTAACAAATCAATATGATTCATGCTCCATAAATGTCTTGTTTCATTATCAATAGAAGGCAACTAAATATTCTAGATCAGTAACATTTGAAACATATGGAAAGATTTCATGAAGAAAGACTCTTGTATCTAAATGGATTGTTTTCTTCCTGACCATGCAGCTATCTGAGTAGAAAGCCAGGTCATCACAGCTGGAGAGACTGTCGCTTAATAATCAAACATCGAGTGCAGATAGGAGCGCTGGACGAGACACATGAACTGCCTTCTGGCATCATATTGCATTTGACTGAGAAGCCATTTAACCGCAGATTGACCGATCAGATTCACTGTAGGAGACGAGACCGTGCTTCATCAGCCCTTTATCTAATCATCACTCAAATTTGATACGTCTCAATTTATAGGGTGTAATAACTCTTGGAGGAAATGAAAGGGAGTACTTTTGTATCGCATTTAAAATGGATAAAATCTGACAAAGCTAATGGAGTTGCAGAGAAACTCATAATGTCCAAACATTCATCACTCTGTGTTTCAAAGAGCCCATCACTTAATAATGCCTTTTAATCGTACATTTTAAACTGCTGTAAGTGAGGAGCAGATGAAGTTAAATGGAAGACTTTTTAAACCCTTTTCTTACCATAGAAATACATGTTATACCAATTTGTATTTTGTGGTCAAACTATAGCATTATAAAGGAAATATACATCTGCAGAAATGTCCTCCACATACCTAGCCAAGGCCTTAAACTTAATAGTAACACAAGGCATGTGTTAATTCCTATAACATGAAAGCGTTGTTTTTTTAGTCAGGAAAAATACAATGAACAATATATTTACCCCAAGTCTTTTGTAAAGAAATGTAACTAATGTGCAATTAACGCTTTGCTTTCTTCTGGCTTCTTTGATGTACTCCAAATTGAATTATTATAATTATTTTTAATTGTGGTGACATTCTCCCTCTGAGCAAAACGTAAACATATTCCATTGACCTTCTTGAACATTTGCAGTGAACACAACGGTAGTGCAACTGTCCTTTAGGCCTACATTTCAATGAACTTCAGGTATTTTAAGAGACAGAGAGGACTGTGTTTTTTTGATGTTGGAGTTGCAGGGTTAGCAGTGTTTTCTCACCGTGGCGGAGGTGCAGTTGCTCCCCAGAGACAGGCACTGTCCGGAGCACCACTGGCAGCCGTTGGTGTTGGCGGTGCAGCTGTAGCAGTCTGTGTACTGGTCACACTTCTCACTGTCTGCATCTGCAAGTTGGAAGAACATGGACTTTAAATAGGTTTGTCCTAAAAACTATTTAAAGTTATATAAAAAGGACACGCAGAAAGTAAATGAATATTACAAGAGTGTGGGCAACGTTTTTAACCCGAATACCTGGTCTCACAGTTACATTTTTATTGTTGTTTGATTTTTAAAACTATTTTTAAGCAATTATTCCAAATGATGGGTCGCAGCATTGAGTTGAAACCAGTTGTGGATGCATTATCCCAATCATTTGGACTATTATTACTCATTTAATAATGTCTAGTCATGGAGCAGCTAATTTTACTGTATTTACTTTACACCATATCACACTAAATATTTCACCTACGGCTCTAAAATGGAAGCATAGGGAGTCTCTTGAGTTCTGGTTCATTTCTCATACGGCACTTTAAGTAATTCTCGTCCTGCTGTGGACCGCTGACCTGTCAACACTTCCTGGACATGAGCTTTCTTCTGGGGAAACTGGGGCAGGGAGGCCTGCAGACAGCAGCAGAGCGGAGAGCCTCTCTGGTATTAAACGTGGCTGAAAGATATTCCGGGGAGCAGTTTCCATCTGCCACCACTTCCTCAGACCCCCACGCCGGGAAATGAGAGTGCCCGTGTTGGGGAAACTGAGGATTTTTTGTGACAAATGGCAAACAGCAAACAGAAACTAATTGTCTCAGCGGGAAGCAGAGAGACCTGGCTGAGCTGCCTCTGATGATCACATCTTGCTATCTGACACACACTCGCACACATATACAACACACTCACACACACATAGGCTGTAAACCCTGAGAACTAGAACACACTGTCATTTTAAAGAAAATGACTTAAAAGTAGTGAGGACACTGGAGAACACACACATGCATTCACAGCCTTAGGATAACAACTATTACCATTAAGATTGTTTTAATTCATTTGTTGATTAAATTATTATCTAGTTTTTAAATTGGCAAATAACAGTAAAGAATCCACGTCACGATTTTCCCAATGAGGTAGAAATGTATGGTTTATACTTTAAATGACATATGCGTTATGTTGACATTATTATTCATCTGCTGCTTGTTAAAGTGGCAATAGACAAGGGTTGCTTTACCTTATCATCATAAACTAAATGTTGAATACACAATGTAATGGCTATAGGATGATGACACCATTTGTGTTTGGAGTGGATATGGGTAAAAGCCCCGGGCAGATGCGAGCTCCACTTACGGCACAAATCCAAGGAAAACAGAATGCACTTTGTCCTGTGATGTGTTGCCAACTTCACATTAAAGTAGCTACTGTAGCACTCGCTCCAAAAGTCATAAGCTCATTTGCATTTTGGTGGAGTTGAGTATTCTCTTTTGCCATTTGAATGAATTCATTGATGGATAAATAGTCTAGAAAATCTTGAAAAAGGCCAATTAAAAAAAGCTTATGTTGATATTTTCAAATAGCTTTGATGTTTTTTTTTCACTAACTGTAAACATATTAGAAATAAGAAAAGCAGCAAGGCAAATTGTTAAAGTGGACCTATCATGCTATATTTGAATAATATAGTGTAGGACCATACCTATATAAGGCATATTTATACTTTTTATTTTTCAAAATACCAAACAGATCATGCATTTTAGCCATTCCTCATTTCACTCAGTTTAACACTGTCTTTGCATCATGGGCTGATTCTGTGAGAACAGCACCATCTACAGGCCTGGCATATGTACTACAGCGTCTCCAGCGCTTTCCAACGGCAATGTCCGTGGCTGTCTCCTCCTGATTGGTGGAGTTGGCCCAATAGGGTTATGGCTAGAAAGGATCCGTCTAGTGTAAATATGACGTCACGTTCTCGTTGTAACTCTCATTGTAATCGGAGCGGCTCGGAAAAAA